ACGGTAAGAGGGGTCGGGGGGGGGAGAACGGGACGGGACCGGCACCGGGAGCGGCGGCGGAAAGGGGGGGTAAGGGGGGGACGCTTCCGTTAACCCCCCTGAGCCCGGCCCCCGGTGTGTGCAGCGGGAACCCAACGTGGACCTGCTGGAAGCCTTCACCGAGCACTGGAAGGGCATCACCGGCTACTACCTGGAAGCCACGGGTGAGTGGGGTGGGGGGAAAGGGGTCCCCGTGCCCTAGGATGGGGTCCCCGAGCCCTAAGTTGGGGTCCCTGTGCCCTAAATTGGGGTCCCTGTGGAGTGGGAGAGGGTCCCTGTGCCCTAAGATAAGGTCCCGTGGTCTGGGAATAAGGTCCCAGTGCCCAGAGAGGGGGTCCCAGTGCCCTAAATTGGTGTCCCCGTGCCCTAAATTGGGGTCCCCGTGGAGTGGGAGAAGGTCCCTGTGCCCTAAAATAAGGTCCCATGGTCTGGGAAGAAGGTCCTTGTGCCCAGAGAGGGGGTCCCAGTGCCCAGGGACAGGACCCCGTGCCTTAAGATGGGGTCCCCGAGCCCTAAACTGGGGTCCCTGTGCCCTGGGAGAGGGTCCCTGTGCCCTAAGATAATGTCCCATAGTCTGGGAAGAAGGTCCTTCTGCCCAGAGAGGGGGTCCCAGTGCCCAGGGACAGGACCCCGTGCCTTAAGATGGGGTCCCCGAGCCCTAAACTGGGGTCCCTGTGCCCTGGGAGAGGGTCCCTGTGCCCTAAAATAAGGTCCCATGGTCTGGGAAGAAGGTCCTTGTGCCCAGAGAGGGGGTCCCAGTGCCCAGGGACAGGACCCCGTGCCTTAAGATGGGGTCCCCGAGCCCTAAACTGGGGTCCCTGTGCCCTGGGAGAGGGTCCCTGTGCCCTAAGATAATGTCCCATAGTCTGGGAAGAAGGTCCTTCTGCCCAGAGAGGGGGTCCCAGTGCCCAGGGACAGGACCCCGTGCCCAGGGAAAGGGGGGGTGTCCCCGTGCCCTGGGTCAGGACCCCCCCAGCAGCAGGGCACCGTGCCCACCCTAGAGCACCGGGGATGATCTGGGACGTGGGATTTTGGGGTGGGACACCCATTCCCATACCCCAGGAGGACTTATCCAGCCCAGACCTTGCCCCCCCCCAGCCCCGACCCCCTCCCCAAACACCAGTGGGGCACCACGGGGAGGGTTGTGTGGGTGCAGATTCTTCTGGGAGCGACTGCAGGTTGGGGCACGTCCCTCTCCGGCAGCGTGTAGGGCCTGGAGAACTTCAACCCCTTCCCCAACCGGGATCTGGGTCCTTCCTGCTCGGTCCCCTCCACCCCTTCCCCTCCTGGGTTGGTCCTGGAGGGTCTGTGGGGCTAGTAGCCCCCCCGGCAGCTCTGAGAGCCACTCTGTCCCCCCCAGCGGGAAGGGCCGGTGGCTTTGGTAGGCCCTGAGCGGAAGGAGCAGGCTCGGGTGGTGCTGGGACTCCATCATCACATTGCCATCTAGCGTCCTGCCCGCTCTTGGCACTGGAGGAGGACTCTGGGCTAGCAGGGCTCGGGGTGCCACTGGACAGCACCCCACATTTCCATCTCACCACAGCCAGCACCCCACATTTGCACCCCACCATGGCCAGCACCCCATATTTGCACCTCACCATCATGGGCACCCCACATCTCCACCCCACCATGGCCAACACCCCATATTTCCATCCCACCATGGCCAGCACCCTGTATTTGCACTTCCCCCACCGTGATCCTGCCCGCTCTTGGCACTGGAGGAGGACTCTGGGCTAGCAGGGCTCGGGGTGCCACTGGACAGCACCCCACATTTCCATCTCACCACAGCCAGCACCCCACATTTGCACCCCACCATGGCCAGCACCCCATATTTGCACCTCACCATCATGAGCACCCCATCATGGCCAGCACCCCATATTTCCATCCCACCATGTCCAGCCCCCCACATTTGCACCTCACCATAGTGAGCACCCCACCATGGTGAGCACCCCACATTTGCACCCCACCATGGTGAGCACCCCATATTTGCACCTCACCATGGTGATCACCCCACCATCTCCAGCGCCCCATATTTCCATCCCACCATGTCCAGCACCCCATATTTGCACCTCACCATGATGAGCACCCCATATTTGCACCCCACCATGCGTTACTCCCCTCATCCCTCCTTTATGCCCTCATGGGGGGGTGGAGAAGGACATTCCTCAGCCCCCCCGTTGCCTGTGTCCCCAGACGAGAGTGTCCCCGCCAGACAGACGGACATTCCCTGGCGCCTCAAGCAGATGCTGGACATCCTGGTGTACGAGGAGAAGCAGCGCCCGGTGGGGGAAGCTGGACCCTGCCTGGAGTACCTGCTGCAGCACAAGGTTCTGGAGACCCTGGGCACCTTGGGCAAGGCAGAGGTGGGTGCACGAGCCACCACTTTTTTAGGGGGAATCACGTCCCTGTGGGCTGTTTGTCACCTCAGCAGCTCTGAGGAGAAAGACCTGTGGGTCCTGGTGGACAACAGGATGCCCATGAGCCAGCAATGGGCCCTGGTGGCCAAGAAGGCCAAGGGCATCCTGGGGGGCATGAGGAAGAGTGTGAGCAGCAGGTGGAGGGAGGTCATCCTGCCCCTCTGCTCTGCCCTGGGGAGGCCCCAGCTGGAGCACTGGGACCAGTTCTGGGCTCCCCAGTTCCAGAAGGACAAGGAACTGCTGGAGAGGAGACAGCAGAGGCTACAGAGATGAGGAGGGACCCGGAGCATCTCCCTTACGAGGAAAGGCTGAGGGACTTGGGGCTTTGGAGTGTGGAGAAGAGAAGGCTGAGGGGGGATCTGATCAACACCTCTAAATACTGAAAGGGTGGGTGTCAGGAGGATGGGGCTGGTCTTTTTTCAGTGGTGCCCAGGGACAGGACAAGAGGGAATGGGCACAAACTTGAAGGTAAGAAGTTCCACCTGGACATGAGGAGGAACTTCTTTGCTGTGAGGGTGGCAGAGCCCTGGCAGAGGCTGCCCAGAGAGGTGGTGGGGTCTCTGGGGTGTCTATTTGCATGATTTTAGGGGAGCAAACCCGGGGTCTTTCCTGAGGATGTTCTTGCAGACCACTACTGGGCCGATCTGGGGGCGATGAGAGGGGTAACGGGGTACAGAGGGAGAGAACTGGTCTCCAGCTGATGGTCTCCTCTCCCTCCCAGTACCCCCCCGGGATGAGGCAGCAGGTCCTCCTCTTCTTCAGCCGGGTGCTGGGGCAGATGCAGCACCCTCTCCTGCACTACCTCAACGTCCACAGGCCGGTGCAGGTGAGTCGGGGAGGTCCTGGTGATGGTGCCACCAAAGATGCCAGGTCCCACCAGGGATGCCAGATGCCGGGGGAGGTGGCCTCATCCCTTTAGCCCAAAGGCTTCCAAGGGGGGGTGATGCCCAGTAGCCCCCTCCTTGCCCTGCCCAGAAGCTGCTCCAACTCAGTGGTGACCGCTTGGGCTCCGGCACGGAGAAGGAGGAGGTGCAATTCGCTGCTGTCCTCTGCACGAAGATCAAGCAGGATCCCACCCTCCTGGCCTACATCCTGGAGGTGAGGTGACCCCCCCAACACACACACCCCCCTCATCCCTGTGGGGATGATCTGGTGGGGCTCATCCGTGGGGTTTGCCTCATTTAATTGAGCTTTTTTGATTGCAAAGCTCCTCGGGGGGAGTGGGGAGGAAGATGGTGGCTACAATGCTTTGCTGCTCCTCTTCCTCTCCAGGGAAAGAGCATCCTGAACGGGAGGAGAGCCCAGGAGCTGCTGGCCAGCCCCATAGAAGAGGGTACGGAGCATCCCCCCCCGGGTACCACCACCCCCCCAGCTGAGCCATCCCCTCCCCGGAGGGACAGCAACCTCGTCACCTCCTTGGTGGGGCTGTGCAAGAGCCAGGTAGGAGGGGGGGGAAGAGATGTTGAGGGGGGGAAAGGGCTGGTGAGGAGGAGAGGATGGGTGCCACCAGTGGTGTGCCACCTCTCCCTGTTGAGGGGGGGAAAGGGCTGGTGAGGAGTAGAGGATGGGTGCCACCAGTCGTGTGCCACCTCTCCTCATCCTCCTCTTCCTCACAGAAGGGCAGGGTGGCACTGAAGGCTCGGGAGAACCTGCTGCAGCTGGTGGGGCTGGCCCAGGAAGGGGCTGCTGCCCGCCTGGTGGGGACAGGCACCCTGTGCCAGCTGCTGACGGAGCATCTCTGTGACCTCTACAGCGCCGTGCCCCCCGGCACCGACCCCGCCGACGTCCTTTCCTTGGAGAGAGCCAGCTGGAGGTAAGGTTGGCACCGGGCAGGGTCATCCCTGGGCATCACCGAGGCTTCGCCGCAGCCCCCCATCCTCTGCCCCCCACGCAGGTCGCAGGGGGATGCTGCTGGTGATGGGGTCTTCCCCGGGAAGGAGAACCTGGCTGCCTTCTTCTCCTGGCTGGACTACCTCGATGAGCTGGTGATGGGTGCCCACCCGGTAAGGAACCCCCCCTTGCAGAGCACAAAAAGCCCCCCCTACCCGCTGTGGGGCTCAGCCTCTGCCCCCCACCCCAGGTCGTGGCAGATGCCATCACCAAAGCCGTGGAGGAGAAGTTCTTCCAGGGCATCCTGCATCCACAACTCCTGGAGATGTGAGTTCCTGAGGTGCCAGAGAGCACGGGTGCCCACCCGGTAAGGAACCCCCCCTTGCAGAGCACAAAAAGCCCCCCCTACCCGCTGTGGGGCTCAGCCTCTGCCCCCCACCCCAGGTCGTGGCAGATGCCATCACCAAAGCCGTGGAGGAGAAGTTCTTCCAGGGCATCCTGCATCCACAACTCCTGGAGATGTGAGTTCCTGAGGTGCCAGAGAGCACTGGGGGGAGTTTATCTACCCCCCCCCCCCAACCTTGGGGCTGGGATGGTGGGGTTCCCCTTGCCTGAACCTCCTTTTTGCCCTGCTGTGGGATGCTGTGATGCTCTTAGGACCCCCCCCCAGCCCCAGCCTCGCAGCATCCCACCTTGTGTCCCCCCCTGGCAGGTCGGAGCTCGCCGTCCTCAGCGCCACGGCCACGCTGACGGGCACCCTGCGGCAAATCCGTGCCCCCCCCTTGCTCCACCGCCTCGTCCTATTCCTACTGGGGCCCCACCGACACCCCGAGACCCCGGGGGACACCCCCCACCCTCTGCGTGCCCACCTCATCGACCGCTGTGACCATCTCTCTGACGAGGTGGGGGAGGACAGGGGACACGGGGGTGGGATAGGGGACACGGGTGATGCTGGGGGGGGGTAAATGGAGTGGTGGGGGTCTCACCCCCTCTGCCCCCCCTCCCCGTGCCCTAGATCAGCCTGGCCAGCCTGCGGCTCTTCGAGGAGCTCCTGAGGAAGCCCCACGAGCACGTGGTGCACAGCTTGGTGCTGAGGAACCTGGAGATGAGGGGCTACCTACAGCGTGGTCCCCCACCACCCGACGAGCGCGGACCCCCCGAGATGGACCCTGATGAGGACGGGCTGTGAGCAAGTTGGGGGGGACCAGGGCAGGGCAAAAGGGGGGGCAGCCCCCCCCCAGAACCCACCCCAGCGATGCTCCTGCACTGGTCCCACAGGGACCTGGAGGAGGAGGATCCTTATTTCACCGATGGATTCCCCGATGCTGGATTTAGGATGATGAAGAAGCATCTCCCGGGACCATCCCCGTCAGAGAAGAGGCAAGTGAGCGAGGTGGT